GGCCGCAGCAGGAACCAAACATCGCCACTCTCATCAGCTTTGTATTTGGCTCTATCCCGGTCACAGTCTGAGGGGTCCAGGTTCCTCAACTGTCGTCCGGAGCCACGCCCAGCGGATGGAGGCGTCCTGAGTCCAGCACCAGCCTCCCCACCCAGTGTAAAAGCTGCGAGTACCAGTGGATCCCATTGCCATGGCACCCAGTGGTGCCAGTCCAGCTGTGGATCAACCTCAGCGGGGAGAAGGCCCAGTGAGCCAGGGAGTGCTGGTTCACCACAGCATAGCAGGAGGCCACCACCCCGTCCACCACCACCGTCCCATGCTGGGTCAGCGGTGCATACACCCCCCTGCTCTCCCTCACGGTGACCTGATTGAGACGAGAGAGATGCCCCTCGCCGAGCCTCTGTCCCACTTCTCCCTGCGACACCAGCACACACTGTCCCGGCCGGGCGTCGCTGGCATACACTGTCCTGAGGGTGCCAAAGGCTGGCGCCACCCCCTCTGAGCAGTTCCCCTCAGACACAAACAGCAGATGGGCGGCGGTGAGGGAGAGCTGTGCCCCGGATTCTGTCTGCAGGGTGTAGAAAAGTTTCCAGGTCACAGGGTCGCGGTCCAGGAAGGTCAGGACTTCGCTGAACACCAGCTCACCGCTGCCGTCACTGCCTGCTGAGGCCAGGACTCTGTCTCCGGGTCGTAGGTCGCTGATGGACATCTGAGCACCACTCTCCACCGTGACCACCGCCTCGCCGGGGAAGCACCCTCCAGACTTGGCTGCCACCGAGTGGTCTGAGAGAGAGAAGCCGACAGGGAGGGTGATACAAGTTCAGTGTCTTTACTCCCACTGAGCCACCAGGACATTATTAATGTATTCATGAAGTTTAGTTCCAAGTTGTAATTTGGTCTTGGTATATTTTTAACTTACTCTGTCAAATGTTTGACTGTTTATCTCAAAGTTTAGACCGAAATCTATCACTTTTTCTTTTTATTGTTACTGTAGGTAACTAGTAGGGCTGGACCTGAATATTCCACTATTCAGATATTTGTTGTTGGGTAGCTGATCAGTTTTCAATTGTAGCATTTGAATATTTGCGATATATGCCAATAAATACCAGCTGAGCTCCAAAGCCATCCCATTTGACCCCCAGTAACTAGTCAGACATATAAATAGTGGGCCAATACTTTCAGGGTCAAACTTATTCAGTCCAGGCATTTCTGTGCAGGAAGCACAGAGGATATATGCAGTCCAGATATAAAGCCAATTTTATAATTATTAAAATGTCACTGAAAGCAGCAAAATACTCCTTTAAAAGTGATAAAATACAACGAATACATTGCTTAAATGATACATTAAAAAGATCTTAATTTTTCAGCTAAGATTTAGGGGCTTTCAGTCTACAGTAGTTTCAGTTTTTACCCTTTAAATTCCCATTAAATCATTCAGAAAACCCATTAACATGAGCATTAAATTGGCAGGATATATAACTAATTTTAGAGGGTAAAACCCTTCAAATTTGACCAAACAACAAGAAAGTCATTCTTACTTTATGTTTTCAGTATGTGTAGTCTGCCATACTGGCAGGCCTGGGCTTCCATACCCAAACCTTTTCAACTCCCTTAAGCTAAATATTGACTTTTCTGTCAAACACTGGACATAAATAAGAACAACTGAGCTGCTGGATAAAAGCTCCTGTTGTGTGCAAACATGTCAAGGATTGTGTTGGTGACAATGAGCCGGGGCACTTGGAAGCGACACTCGAGAACCGTCCCAAGTCCATCTGGGGATAAATATTTGGGGAAGGCAGGAAAGCCAAGGCCAGGTGATAAGATAAGTCAGGTGAAGGAGGAAGGAGGAAAATCAGGACGCAGGTTAATGATCTGACAGAGCGCCACACACTCCAGGTCTGCTCACCGTCAAACACACAAAGAATTGGTTTTAAAAGGAATAAATAAATAAATAATGATATACCTAAAATTTTATCATAAAATCTAGGTACCTTGTCTGCATTTCATTAAATACACTTTTAAATATATAATTTAAATAGTTTTCTATGTTTATGTAGATTTCATAGCCTAGAGGTATATTTTGATACTTATTTTTAAAAAGTCATTATTACTTAAATTAAAACTGTCTCATTGTTAGGATTTAGTTTTATCCTGTTTTAACAATTAAATGTTTGACTTTTGTCATAATTTTCATTTAAAAAAAATCATGATTCTGATGCGATGAATCCAAATACTGAGCTAGTATCTTTTTTTTTTTGCCGTGTAATGTCAAGATGCTGGACTTTAACAATCACACTTTACTGGTCTGGTGCTTTTGTCTACTTGTCCGCGGGTGCACGTTTCCACCGCTAACCTCGGGTTTCTACACGTGGCTGGTTGTAAACACAACATGTGATAACAATGACATTTTGTCACAGCTACTAAATTGTCTTTTGGTTCAAATTAGAGTCTGAGGGATTAATCCTGACTCTGCATTCACATCACAGCTGCAGTGACTCAGACCTGATGTGTCCGCAGCAGTGTGAACAGACCAGACCAGATGTCCTCAGATCAGATCTGGGCCACCTGCATATGTGCTCCTAGACCCGATTCCTATATGACTTCTGGCTGTGCAGTGCTGTCAGAATGGTCAGATCAGAATCCATGTGGTTGTTTTAACATCTCCTCCTCTGCTCATATGGCCTGTCATCATCATTCAGCGTTGGCCCCTCACAGACCGATAACAATAAACATGGAGGAGGGCGAAGACAGTGACGAGGTCAGTGGAGAGACCAGGACGTTTCACATGTGGTTGACATTTATGGAGAAGCTTCTGATCAGGCCAAACTGGAAGGAACATAACCCAGCAGTTTGGGAGGAAACTGGGCCATTTAACCATCACACACATGACCAGGTTGTTATTCTTGTGCACATGTGGCTCACATTTCACTTACATCTGTGCATGTGTGGCAGTTTAGGAGCTCAGCAGTGTTCACACCAGAGCCGGGTACATGGCACTGACACACACAGATGGGAAGCAGCAACACAAGGCCGGGATGTGGACGCAGCCATCAGACACTCTTCCTTATTAAGCCATCAATGAGAAGTGGCTTTTCTCTGACGCGGGTGAGAAACTAAGCATCACCTTCCTACATCTCTTCCTGCTTTGAGCACAGACACGTTTGGTGGCGCAGCAGCAGAGTCTGTGCTCATTATTAACCCCGTGTTTCCTCCTGTCTCCCCCTCTCTCAGTCCCGGTCCGGTGCTGCGTTCCCCCCCCCCCCCCGCGCCCGTTTCTCGCCACACCACCCCTTAATTAAGAAGGATTTGAGGGATGTGTTGGTGAAGAGCGCATCCTCCTCAACTGACTGCTTTATCATCCATAACTTTTTTTGTCTTGTTTTTAGGAAAATTGGAGAAAAAAAGGAGAAATCAAAAACATAAAAAATAAAATACCAACTTGATTGGTTGCCCTTCTGATCAAGTCAAGGACTGGGCCCTCGCAA